ATTCCTTAAGATCGAGAGAGAGAGAGAGTGAGTGTTTTTAAGAGAGAGTGAAAGTGTGCCATTCTTACAGAAGTGTGTATTAATAAGAGAGAAAGAATGAGTGTGCCTTTCTAATAGAGAAAGTGAGAGTACATATTTTAAAACAGAAAGTCAGAATGCATATATTAGAGAGAAATAGAGAGAGAGAGTTTGTTTTTAAGAGAGAAACATAATAAAATAAGATAAAATTATTTTGTATATATTTATATATATATATATATATATATATATATATATATATATATATATATATACAGGTACGATGCGATTGTAAATAATTCAATTGTTTAGCAATTTTACATGTTTTCGGTGTAATATCCTAATATAAATTATATATATATATATATATATATATATATATATATATATATATATATATATATATATATATATATATATATCGAGGAGAGATTAATGTATTAATGGGATTGAAGCCAAACATTGCCGAGGAGAAATGACAATAAAAGGAAAACAATTCAAAAGAGAGAATATTACGATTGACGTCGGCATTCAAATTTTTTTAATATCGCATTTGACATGAAAGCAAGTGGTCTTCCGGCGAGAAGTGCAAGAGAAGAAACCATTAGAATTGGACTTACGGTTGCATCTAACACTTTCAGCTGTCATATAATGAAACTTAGCTGCCAGTCTAATACGACGCTTAAATTCTGAAATACTTTTCGTACTGGGTGGGCGCAGTGAGAGAGAAAATAAATCCTCGAATCAGTTCGATCGAATCTACATCGATTTCTTTTTAGATTAATGGTTTGATTTATAAGGCAGGTAGTGCTTTATAACGCGTGTCAACTTTATAACGGCATTTGTTATATATATATATATATATATATATATATATATATATATATATAACAAATATAATTTCGGCTTTGTGCCACGGTATATTTTTATATGTATGTATGTGTGTGTGTATGTGTGTTTGTATGTGTATATATATGTGTGTGTGTGTATATATGTATATATCTGTATGTGCCCTATTTTATTGTGCATGTATATTTATATTTAAGTATATTTCTGTTTGTATGAATGTGTTTATATATTTGTATGTTAGGGTATATGTATATTGGTGTGTGCTGGTATTTGAATGTATATTTATGTATGTATATGTAAGTACGTTTATATATGTATTTGGTTGAGTGTTGTTGTATTTATATATATATGCATGTATATATTGGTACTTGTTATTATAGATAGATATATTTATATATATGTTTATTTGTAGATTTGTATGTATGTGTATATATATTTAGGTATGTTTGTGGATGTATATGTGTGTGTTGACACCTATTATGTATGAGTTTGTTTGCGTGTATGTGTAGGTATGGAAACTTTGGTATGTCGTTACTGCCACAGTAGTTAGTCTATGTGCGTATATATGTTCATATATGTACTGGTGTATGTATTTATACTGGGGGATATATTTATATATGTGAGTATGTGTGCATAAAGATGTGTGTATATATGTGTGTATTTATGTTTATATGTATATGTGTGTATGTGTACTTGTTATCATAGATATACATATATGTGCGTATATGTTTATGTTTATATATTTATATGTATGTATTTCTGTATGTATATGTATGTATGTGTGTATGTTTATGTGTGTTAATTTGTGTTTGCTGCCGCGTGTGTATGTATGTATATGCGTATGACAGTACACTTATTTCTGTGGGTTTCTTTATCCTGTTTTTCTTCGTCTAATATATAATGAAACTATTATCAACTTATATGATTAAAATATATTTTTATTGATATTTGTGGTTTTAGAATTTTCGTTTTAATATATTAAATAATATTACTTTTAACCATTTTTATCTTTGTATATTTGCTCCCTTAAGTTATAATTTAATAAGTGGTTAGCATTTATTTAATGATACTTTAAGTCTTAAATATTTATTGGTTGTGGTATCTGATTGTCTAGTTTATTGTCTGTGGATGTGTGTACGTGTATCTATCGGTGTCTATGTGTATGTAGAGTGCATTCACATTTAATTGTGTGTGTGTATAGGTGTTGGTTTCCCCGTTTTCTTTTTTCATAAAGGGTTGTAGAGATGTTCCTGTCTCGTCGGCTTTTTTTTTTTTATATATATATATATCTAAATATGTCTGGGTGCTTATGTATTATAATCTGATTGTGTTTTTGTTGTTTTGCGCGTGAGTTTAAGACCACATTCACACACTTTAGAATGAAAAATATATATACAGGTATTGTCAAATGACCGGATATATTGTAGCGTCTTGTCGAACGTAATTTCAACGAAGAAATAAATTGAATAACATGCATTTTTTCTTTTCTCAATAATTTTGTAGTTTTTAAACTTAATAGTGATTAAATTTGGATTTTAAAATTGCCTGTTTTTAATTTTAATATTAAATTTTATCATATAATTTTATAATTATTGGTTAGTATAAATTATTTTTAATATTACACATATTTTAAAGATCTGAATAGCTATTATAACATGATTTCGTTGTCAAGCTTTTGAATCTTTCTATACTTGGTTTTTTTTGATTGGTTATTCTAGCTTTTGTAACAATGTTTCCCCCCTAGTGTAGGATCGTTAATTAATTTGAAACTTTTAAAACCATTTATTTTATCTTCAACATCATCACTTGATAAGACACCGAGGGTGTTGAAACAAAATGGCTATTTTAGTAGTGATTTTATAACATACTTATGTTATATTTTTTTTTATAAATAATAATTATATATATATATATATACATATATATATATCTGTGTGTGTGTGTTTGTGTGTGTACACGCATCTTTATAAGCATGTTCATTCGTAAAATTAATTACTATGGAAACGGAACATGCTTATAAAGATGCGTAAATTTCAAGATTGGTTATTCCTAAATTTTCGCTTGAGGATGAAACGGTTTGATACCTTAATTCAATTTAATTTTAATAATTATATTGAGTTTTTTGCTCTTGTTTTTGAAACATGAGAACTCTTATGTAGAAGTAATCATATTTTTTTAAAAAATAATTATAATGTAAATATATATATATACATATATATATATATATATATATATATATATATATATATATATATATATATATATATATATATAGGGAGAGGAGAGAGAGAGACGTACACAGAGTAAGTGTATGTGAAAGAGAAAATGAGAGAGAATGTGTTTCTAAATATAACTATTGTCGTTGTAATTGTGATTTTTGTAAACAAGCCTAAACGCGCTCTCTTGTAATTATTTTACCAAAATCACCATCACACCGACCACAGTTACATTAAGTTTGTCTTCGAAATTCACCCCTGAAGATGATCTCGGTTGAGATCGAATGTACTTGGGTTAATAAAATCTGTAGCACGTTCCTTGATGAATTTCAGATTAACATCAAGTAGCTATTGAGAGAAGTAGAAATAATTATTATAAAAATTAAATAGACATAATATATTTATACTATTCAATATAAATATATATATATATATATATACATAGAGAGAGAGATAGAAAGAGAGAGACAGTGTTTGCGTGTGCGTATTTGAAAGAGAAAGGAAGGAAGATTGCGTTGCTAAAAAAGAAATTAAAACATTGGTTTATAAGAAAGAAAAAGAAACAATGTCTGAGTTTCGTTGAAAAAGAAAACATAAGCTGACAATCGGAAGACCAGCAGAAGTATAGAAAGACAAAAAGTTTGAAAATGTGAATAATCTAAAGACAGGAATGCTTGCAAGGGACAGGGACGTGATGGGGGTGAAAAAAGGCAGTTTGAATATAGTTAAAAGCTCAAACATTTCATGGAACTATAGGCGGAACAATCAAAACATACTCCAAAAAACCAAACGCTGGTAAGAAGTCTTAAGTGATGACACAGGAACAACAGAAGGAAACCTTTGCAAAAAAAAAAAAATGCCTGAGAAGACAAAAACGGCCTGGGTGTTGTAATAAAGAAAAAAAAAACGCTTGTAAAGAACAAAAATAAGTTCATCAGTCATTCATATGAAACCCTGTTTATGTTTCCGCCATTGATGTTTTTACTGTTTTACAACTTCTCACCAACGCGTGACGTCTGCCCGACAGAATCCCTTTTTATATGCATTGGGTCTTTTCGATGAAGACGTTGAAAAACTGCTAAAGTAATCTTTCTTCCCCTTCTGGTTTTGCCCGTGCGCACACCAGTAAACCATTTTTGTTATCCTCTTTTATATCTGTTAACCTACCTCTCTTAATTTCTATCTTCGTTTCATTTGTTTGTCAATGTATGTCTTCTTTTGAAGCGCTTCTGAAAACATTTCTGTCATTTGCATCTTTCATCACCTTATCCTATCGTTCTGTTTTGACTGCATTTCATCAAGTGTCAATAAGAAAATGGACAGAAGTCAAAGACTCGGTTAGAACTAACAGAAAAATAAAACCTGGTTGGGCTGTTGTTGGTTGGATTAAGATTAATTATTTTATTTACAAGGAGTAATATCTTTAACTTTGTATGGAGCGACTCGAGAATTTAAAAAGAGTCTTTACTTCATTTCATTAGAGTGATTAGGCTGGAAGTGTGTTCATAGAATATATATAAACTTACTTTCCTATTTTAATAGGAATATATATATATATATATATATATATATATATATATATATATATATATATATATATATATATATATATATATATGCGACTTTCTAAATATTCTTCACAGTTGTCTTGTAAGTGTTTTTACATGGGGTAAAAATCAGTAAATAGAAAATACAAAATAAATAAATAAATTTTCTATCTACGTCATTCAACTAAGACGCCTCGACATGTGGTAATAAGTGAGAGGATACTTGTTGATCATTATTACTGAGTAAAGTTCATTTCTAACTATTGGCTCAATAAAATGCTTAACTGTAAATAACCAAGAAAATGCTGATATATCCTAAAATCAACCAAACTAATGAAAGCATTCCGCTAATGCTTGTTCAGTTTCTTAGAATCTATCTATCTATCTATCTATCTATCTATCTATCTATCTATCTATCTATCTATCACAGTGTTCATATCGATTTGTCTGTTTACAACTATCTGCCAATCTCAGTCTGCTTATTCCTGTGTATCTATCTATTTATCTGTTGAGGGGTTCTCCCCTTTTTGCACAAATGGACTCACCCAGTATATACATATACTACTGATACGTGAAGACCCGCGAGAGTAGACCGAAGAGTCGAGTCGAGTCCAGAGTGACAGAGTAAAAGGTTGTAGGTAACCTGAAGAGTGAGGGGTGAGGTAACAGCGTTGTAGGAGTCACAGTGAGCGAGCACGTAGACTCAGTAAGAAGTCATACTGTGATACTTCAATACCAAAGACTGTATATATATTTTGCTACTAACCCGTATTCCTGGAACTACTAACCTGAGTTACCAGTTTGTATTATTACTTTAATACATTGTTTTCATATATTCATTCCTGGCGTTCGTTATTTATCGGTACCGGATTTCAACCCGGAATCCACAACACTATCTATCTATCTATCTAGCTAGCTAGCTATCTATCTAGCTTTCTATCTATCACAGTTTGTTCATGTCTATCTCAGTCACTTTATATCTATTGAAGAGAAAAATGGATTATTATAACACCTTATTAATATATTCAATGGGATGCTGAAAGCTTTTCGGCCCAACCCAGCTTCCAAAATCTCATCAAATGACTAGAGATACTTTTGGAGAGATATCTTGGGGGGAAACTTTTACCCACCTCCCGACTAATATACATCCACACACACACCTATATATATATATATATATATATATATATATATATATATATATATATATGTATGTGTGTATGTGTGTGTGTGTATATGTGTGTGTGTGTGTGTGTGTGTGTGCATATATAATGAACCTATTCATAAAAGAAATACAAACGAGATGCTGTAATATTTGTGTACCTATTGGTTCAGGTTTTTTTTTATCTTTGCCTTTGTGTTATTTTCCATGACAACATCTCCAGCAGCTCTCAGGGAGTGGCACCGGATATGGTATGTATGGAAAAGAAACCTATGCCCCCGTCAGACCAAATTTGAACATTCTACAATACGTGCGGCAGAGGAGAAGGTCAGGAAGTACAGTAACTGAGAATGTAAAATAGATCGTAAAAATAATTCCGAATGAAGCCTTATATACGATTTTGATGATTTTTGTATCGTATTTACTACATATGATATCACTGTTCACATAAAGTGATGATATCTGTTTATCTTTCTGAGATAAGGTATTATGTACACTATTTACTTTATTCGAACTATTCGGACCATGTTTATCTCAATGTTTCGGTCGTTGTACGCTCCGGGCTTCTTCGGGTGGTTGGAATGTCGAACTGAACCCTTTATTTCGCTCACTGGGGTAGACTGTTCTAGTTCCACGTGCCATGTCTAATGGCTGTCAGTTATCTCCTGTTAATTACTCTCTCCAAGTTCTCCACTCCCTTAACCAGGTATTGCATTCACACTCTTTGGCTCCTGTCATTGGATCTAACCAACGCCATTATCCACTGTGCCATGTGTCCTTGTGACATATTTGTATGAATTTCTGGGTATTATAAACCTAATGTCTTCAGCTACTATTTTTTACCAGTTCTAATATTGCAATTTTTGCTGTTATCATTGCATTTTTTTACCAGAGCTCATATTGCAATTTTCTTTGTTATTATCGATTTTCTCTGGCACTCCTTATTACTGGTTCCTATAGTGTATTCATTTCTATACTTGGTCGGCTCAGGAGATTTTTGTGGCCTAGCATATGTGCTGATTCCTTCAGAATTTTCCAATGATGCTCTTTGTCTATGACCTCAACTTGATCCCACAAAGAAACACTAGAACAGTTTACCACAGTGAGTGAAATAACATTCTACATTCCAACCACCTGAAGAAGGCCGGAGCGTACAACGGCCGAAACGTTGTGAGAAACTTGGCGACAAAGATGAGGACAATAGTCCGATAAAGTGATGATATATTAATATTTTTAGAAATGCTTACACTCTCACACATACACACGCGTAAACATACATATAAATACATATTTTGCTGGCCCAAATCGTAAGGCCAATGAAAATAAAGAAAAGACATACCTTTTGGTTTTTCAGAGTCAACCACTTATTTTAGTGCAGCATAGTGATGCTGATATCTGGTTAAAAGTTTAAGACCATATTTAAACAAAGCTTTAATTGGTAAACAGGTAACGAAAATGAATCATTTGTGTTCAAGCATTACCGCAGTCAAAATGTCCCATTGGCATCCCCTGCGTTACATTAGTTGAAAAAAATATTTAAAAAAAAGGCTTAAAATGTTTGAACGTGGCAAAATTGTCTAGCTGCAAAATGCAGTTTTCTCTCAAGGTGCCAATGCTGGTGAGAGTGGACGTAGTAAATTTCTTAAACATCTCTGAGGGATACGGAACAAGAATTTCAATTAGTCGACCCAAGAAAAGTTCGTCCGTGTTAAGCGGTAAGATTCAACGAGTTGTCCGGGAAGACACCAGCCAATCATGGAAACTAGATTTAAGACCTTATGGACGCAGAATGTAGTACAAGAACAATAAAAGTGTAAAGGCTTTAAAAACCGTAAAAAGTCCACACCTTCTTCCACACAAAACATCTCGGTTAAACTTTTCAGAGAAGAGCCAAAGATGAGATATAGAAGAAAGGTAGACGGTTTTGTTCTCTGATGAGAAAAATTAAACCTGAAAGTTCCAGATGGGTTCCAGCGTTTCTAGCAATGTAAGGATCACGCACCGTAGGGCATTTGGCTGACTCCGCCATTCTTTAATCTATATTGGTATCGTTGAAATGATAACTTTTGATTAACTATTTTTGTGTAATTTTCTTGTATTTAACTTGATTTTTGTTGTTTGTTTTTTTCTTTTCACTTAACTATTCCATCCTCTTTCCGAATCTTATTCTATATTTTTGTTTTTATTTTCCTTCCTTCATTCTTTTATTTTCTATTAATGCCTGCCTCAGCACACACACACACACACATATATATATATATATGTGTGTGTGTGTGTATGTGTGTGTGTGTGTGTGTGTGTGTGTGTGTGTGTGTGTGTGTTTGCGTTTGTGTGTGTGCTTACCCACTGTTATTTATGAATGCTGAAAAATTAAGTTTTACTCTCCCAATTTTTTAGTTGGTATTAGAAATCAGAACTTATACTAAGTCATTACTTAACATGGATTCTTTCCCAATTTTCTTTTCTAACAGGTTTATAGGAGTAGATAGGCTCACCTATCATCCGGTCCGCACTACTTCCTTGTCTGTTGAACAGGATGAGAGGTTCATCATTTGTTCCCTGTTCAGGATATGGCTTACCGGTTCACTTTCTTTCTCTTACCAGGGCAACAATGATGTAACTTTCTTAACTCGTTGGTGATTAGACTAACCAATGGCTGTGTCTTTCCATTATGAGGTTAGTGGGTTGGCAATTTGCTGGCTGCTGCTTCCTACTGGTTGTTAGGAGCTCGAAATCTTTGGTGTCCCTGCATCTATTTCCGATGGGCAACCCTCAGGCCAAATTACGCTCTGTTTATTGGTTGGTTTGTATTGCCACTGATGAAAGATAGTGAAAATTGTGGTAGGTATTTTTCTCCCTCCTCAAAACATATCTCATGGAAATCACAACAAAAATAAATAAAACTAAATCAACTAACAAAACTACATACAACACTCAATCTTTCTTTCTCCAATATTCATAGTATCTGTTTCAACTTCTGCAGCGTAGAATCTTTTCTCCTGAAAAAGTTGCCAGATATCTTTCTTCTGTGAAACCAACTTGAATTCTTTCATTGCTACCAATGAATTGTTGGTTCGAGGTTATCTTCACCTTTGCCGAAAAAAAAATTCCAACATTCACATGCATGGCGTTGGTGTTTCCACCCGAGTTAATCTTCCGATGGCCAGGGAATTGTCTCTCAAATGCCCTGAATGCTCTTTCATCTGCTTCTGTCTTTCGTTACTAAACTCTGTCAGTTATCTCTTTTCTTTTATTACTCCCCACTTCCCAGGATTGCAGTATATTCGACGCAATAGCTGATTATATAAAAGGCAATTTCTCTCCATCCATCTGCGAACATTTTTGTCTTTAGTGACTTTAATGCTCACCATGTTACGTGGATGAAACATTCTAAAGATAATGATATTACCGGTATACAGACTAAGTCTTTCTATTGCCAATTTCCACACGCAAATCGTCGACATCCCTACTTGTTTCCCTAGCCAAACCTAGCAACATGCTTCTCTATTGAATCTCTTAACTCTTCTCCGCTATTGCCAAGCTTCACGATGCTTTTCTTTTGGTCACTCGGACCACTATGTGGCAACAATTGAAATCTCCTTCTAAGCATCCATTAGACAGGAACCCCTTATCCATAAGACCTCTTTCCGTTATCAGTATACTGACTGAAAATCATTCCGAGATTTTCTTCTTGACGCTCATTGGACCGATATCTTCAACCTTCCAATTGAAAATTACGTCACTAAGAATTCTTCCTGGGTCAAAGGCTGCATAGACGCTTTCTTCCCTTCTCGGAAATACCAAATGAAACCGCAATACTCTCCATGGCTCACACCAGCTTACCCGGCCGCCATAGTACACAAGAACTACTATTTCTGTCATAACAGGTGCCTATTTGCTACTGCTCGTAATAAATGTAAGTGATTCCTAGAAAGAGCTCCGTTTATGTTTCTTTCAGAGAACGAGACACCACGTAGCCTCTAAATCTAACTGCTTGGATATTCGAGAAATGTTATTAGAAAAACATTAAGGAGAACACATAGTTTTTTAATAAGAATTCTTGAATATTCAATATTTAGGCCGGTAGATGAAATCAAATAAATATACTGTTTAAAGATAAACGGAGCGTCTACACAAATACTTGTATCCACTAAAGATATCGTTTAAATAATATATATATATATATATATATATATATATATATATTATATTCGATTTTGAATTTGATCAATTATTTTTAATATAAACCTTGTCTGTAAAAACAGTTTTATTATTATTATATATATATATATATATATATATATATATATATATAGCCATCATTATTCTATTTATATATATATGGTTGAAGATCAGCGATAGGTCTTTGTTAAAAAATGTTTTTATTAATTTGTTTATTCAAGCCATTTTCTGGTTTTGCGGCCAAATTTTGTGCATCAATTGTCCAGTGTCCTATGAGCAGCTTTGGCTTTCTTAAAAAGTTATAGGTTATAGCAGCCAACTTTCGAATGACTCGCCTATGAAAAAGATTTTTTCAATTTTATCATAGACCAGTTTTGCTTAACGGTTTATTCAAGCGAGGTAAAAGAACATAGGAACATGGATTAGAAGAGATGATAAAGTGTTGTCTATGTGTATATATTTTTCATTTTTCCAGACTAGTATCTGTCGTTTGGTGTTAGGACGAAAAAAAAAAACAGAAAACAATTTATCGTTCTAAGTTGATTTTCATCTAATTATCGAAAATCTATTCCTGGATATATTTGGTTGTTAGAATATATCAAGCTTTGTTGAGAGATTTAATGGGTGATTATACTTGAGTTAA